ATTCGAAAATTTAATCACGTGTCACTAGTTCACGTGACTTCCGCTGTCGTAACATAACATTTTCTAAAATATTGTAACCTACTCTTATAACTATACTTAGCAGTTTAATAAGTTAACTTATTGTTACGACAATGGAAGTCACGTGACGTGCGTGATGAGTTTCTCGAATGATCAGGGTAGTCCGAGTGTGTTCGAGATGCCCTCTTCTTTAGTATATAGGCCTGGCAGAGAAAGCCAGTGGGGTTAATGAACAGAGAGCAGTAGTTACTTTGAGTTCCGTGTAATTTATGATTCTGTTACTTTCGAGCTAGTGATCTGTAAAGTGTGTGTTTTGCACTCGTCGAGAGCGAAATTATCGAAATTGTGAATCGCTGTGATTTATAGCGTGTATTATAAAAGTTGTTAATTTTAAAGTGACGAGAAACGTACTGATTGTGGATCTACTGTGTACTAAACGTTTCTATCGAGGAATAATAAACTGGTTTAATCAAGAAAGGACTTGTATCGCTGAAATACCCAGAAAGAATTTCCACAAACAAATTGGTGTCAGAGAACAGGACAGGAAAAAAATGGAAATGAGAAGTGGCAAATCAAATTACGACTTAGCAGATTTGACGACAGCAATACAAGAACAGCAAAAGAAACAAGAAGAACGAGAAAATAAACAAGAAGACCAAAAAAAGAAACAAGAAGAGAGGCTACAGCAGTGGTTGGGGGAGAAAGAAAATAAACAAGGAGACAACAGCAGTGGTTGGAGTAGAAAGGAAATAAACAAGAAGAGATACTACACCGGTGGCAAGAAAACCAGCAACAGTGACAACTGGAACAAGAAAGGAAACAAGAAGAAAATATCCAACAGTTGCAGGAAAGTCAGCAACAGTGACAAGAAGAAAATGGAGAGAGAGTACAACATCAGCATTAAGTACAAATGGAAAAGATTAGTAAATTTCAAAGTGAATTACAGAAGAGGACGATTTACTGTCTTTTACACAGGGAGGATATACTAGCCATGGACCAAATCAGCCCCAGACAACAGGAAGCTCCTTCCAGACCCATAGCTAAACCCTAATGCAGACATCTTCAGTCCTGCCAGGAGTCACATTCCAGACATAAGTGTCAGCAATAGGGTGATCTAGTACGAAGGAAGCCACAGGAATTCGATGGGAAGGCACCATGGGAAGCATATAGGGACAATTTAGCTCCTTGCAGAAATAAATGGATGGACAGAGGAGCAGAAACAGTGTAACTGCCAACGAGCCTGAAGGGACAACTACTGGATATGTTTGTTTGTTTGAATTTCATGCAAAGCTACATGAGGGCTATCTGCACTAGCTATCCCTAATTTAGCAGTGTAAAACTAGAGGGAAGGCAGCTAGTCATCACCACCCATCACCAACTCTTGGGCTACTCTTTTACCAACGAATAGTGGGATTGACCATCACATTATAACTGAAAGGGTGAGCATGTTTGGTGTGACGGGTATTCGAACCCGCGACCCTCAGATCGTGAGTCGAGCACCCTAACCATCTGGCCATGACAGGTCTCCACTGAAAATACTTGGACAGTTTTCAGCAAACAACAGACAAAACTATAGAGCACTGGTAGCTTCTCCAGAAATCAGGTATGGAACTCAAAATCAGTCCAAAGTTAGGTTTAGGACGAGAGTCCGTGCTAAAGGGGAGAACCTGCAAGAGCTGGCACAGGCTTTGGAAGGTGTGGCACAGAAGGCCTACCCAACTGCACCACGCGATGTCCTCAAGCTGTTGTTGAAGAATCAGTCTGTAGATGCCTTGGACAGTCCTATGTAATGTATGGTTAATGTAAGTGGCTATTGTTCGGGACGAACAATACTAAGGAGGGGCAGT